AGTGGTTGGGAGCTTGGACTCTAGAGCTAAACTGACTTTGTTGCATGATGACATATGCAAAGATCACTACTGATAAGCTGGATGACCTGAGGAAAGTTATAGAAGTTCATTAAACCTTCATTTCCCTACCTGGAAGAAAATAATGAAATTATTCTTGCCTATTATATTTATTGTTGTACCTGTCACTAAATGCCTAGTAATATTAACAAATTGTATATTTCTTTGCAAATACAAATTAGGAAATCATCTTTTCCTAATATTCCTTGTAAATAACAGCTTTGTTCTTGCTTACTATATGCATAGATACATATTACATATATATATTACATATTACATATAAAATATGTATATTACATATTACATATAAAATATATAATGTTCTTTTGTCAAAATTCATATAATCTTAGCTATGTCAAAGTTATTTCATTCCTTTTTTGACACAAACCTTTGTTTTCTAATTGTCAGGATGAATCCTGACAATTTAGAATGTACTAAATTTCTAGATGATAGATATTGTATGTAACAGGGGTTCAAAGTAACATCAACTTTTGGGAGAAGCTGGATGTTATAGTTAAGAACCAAATACTATAGCCCTATGTGTAAAACTTAATTGAGTTGAAAATCAGACATTGAAGTTATCCTGTTTCTTAATCCTAATCTAATAGAAGCAACAATTATATCTATAAATAGCAGTCTGTATACTCAGTAAACAAACAGTGCCCATCCCACTCTATTATTGGACGAAATTAGATGTTTATCTCTATAGTTCCTTACTCTTTCCAGACAAACAGATAGGAATTCTCAGAGGGACTGAAGTTAATTGTTAATTTAGCATTTTGCGATAAGAAGTCTGGTAAAGGGTATCTTCCAGTTAGACACAAAATACATGGGGGAAATATTAGAATTATAAGAGGGAATTAAGAAAAGGTTATTTTATTTTGCAAGATCTATAAGGAAATACAGATGCACCTCAACTAATGATGGGGTTCCTTCCTGACAAACACATCAAAGCTTGAAAATATCACAAGTCAAAAAGCCATTTGATATACCTGACCTGCCAAAACTATAGCTTAACCTAGCCTGTCTTAAATGTGCTCAGATTCATCTACTATTGGAAAAATAATCTGATACCAAGCCTTTTTTATAATTGTTAAATACCTTATGTAATTTATTGGATATTGTACTGAAAGTGGGTACAAATTTCCATCATTGTAAAGTTGAAAAGTTCAAGTCAAATCTCCTAAATTGTGTATACTTTTCAGTGCTACTCATTGTGTGTCTGTGTGTGTGTGTGTGTGTGTGTGTGTGTGTGTGTGTGACTGTGTATGTGTGTGTAAGAGAACAGAGAGGGGAATGGAGGACAGAATTACATTAGTGATAAAATGCTATCATGTCTGGATTCTCTGAACTGTGTGACAGACTGAGAAGCTGTTGTCATCAGTGATAAACAGAAAATCTATAAATTCTTACAGCGCCCATGATATCATCCATGCAGGATATGTAGATGTAGTGAGGCTGATAAAAGTTTATTAATAGTTATGGAAAAAAGGTTACTAACAGCCATAATGGGCCAGATATGATGCTGAAGCAGAGAGTTTTTTCCTACAAAATGTTTTTGAAAGTTCCCTCGAGACTGTGGGAGTGGTAAAACCTGAGCAGTTCTTGACCACCAATAATCATTGGGTGGGGAGGGATTTAGGTAGTCCCTGTGCTAGGGTGGTAGTTTGAGCTGTCCCAGGCTAAGGTATGAATAATTTGCACATATTTGCAGTTGGAAAGAAGGCAAAGAGAGAGATTTTTCACTCTGAAACATAATTTTAAGTAATAAGAGTACTGTTCTCTCCCTATTTTAGCCTGCCTCAAAGCCACAAAGACTAGAGAAGTTAAATGTATGTGGTGAAAAGACACGTAGGCTGGGATGATCACTCATACTAGTTCTAATTTTACGGTTCCTTAATGGTGCCAATTTTGGTAGGTTAGGAAAGGATAATACCTATTTTGCTACCTCATAACACTGCATAGACAAATCAAGAGAGCTAATGAATAGCTAATTGTTTTGAAAACTATGGAAGTTGATCTAATCATAAGGGATTATCATTATTGATTTTCATCATCAAGGATCTCTGCATAGAAACAGAAAACTAACTTTGAATTTTAGTAATAATATTTGCTTCTAGTAACATTACTAGTCTACAAAAATCTTGCTTACTTTGTACTCTTTTATTCCCTCTGTGTCAATATCTTTCTTGTGAATTCAGATTCTGGTTGATAAATGTGTAGGACTGCCAAATTCATAGTTTTATTACCCAAACCCTCTCTTTTCAAATGAGAAGAAAGAAGCTTCTACATATTTGATTAACTGAAAGAGCATAAAACCAGAATGAAATTTTTAGTTTGAAAAAAGTTCTCTGATAACCTAACTCTGATTCAAGCTCTGGTTTGCCAAATTTTCATCCCACTTATTTGAATTTAATAACTGGTGATTTTCATAAATAAGGAGTGATTAATAGAGCATGTGATAAATCACCCCTAGATTTATAACAGTCCTTAAATGAACTGGAGAAAATACCCTGATGACACAGTCCACCTAAGGTGTCCTTCTAATATTGGGGGTGCTCCCTGAAGGTTCTATTGGCCACTTTCTCTTAGAAAATGTTATTAGTCCCAAACTTCTTGTCTGTACTTTCAGGAGGCTCTGACTGCCCATGAGGAGCACTTTGTCATAGGAAGGAGACCAACTCTCCACATTTCCTCATAGCAGACATTCTTCAAAGAGGTGTCACCTGTTGTTTCTTTTGTTCCACTGTAGCACCTCTTCCACTCCTGGGAAAACTATATTTGAGTTAGATTTAAGATCATCAGAATGCATTACATAGTCACCAATTCTACTATAAGGCATTAAACTTTCCTACTACCAAACACAGAGTGTGGTTGAGACACACTTCATGTGGTCTAACAGGGCAAATGAAAAGGCTTTTATAGAGATAAGAATTGGTGATTATAATTATGAAGTGAAAAAGAGAACATTTTTTTTGTTTTAACTTTACTTCAGAAAGGCTGAGGAGTTATTCTATGCTGAGTAAACTTAAATCTGTTGTTCAGATTTGTGTTCAAGAGATGTTGACTTTTCTTGAAATCTTAGAAATTACCTAGTACAACCACATCATTATAATGGGGAGATCATCTGTCATTAATTATAAAGCTCACCACATATACTTATTATTATTTTAAGCAGTAAACACATATACACATACAGTACAATATATGGATTATGCTTAAGCCTTACAACAATATTACAGTGTTGGTATTATTATCTTTGTTTTATATATTAAGAAACTGAGGCCCAGAGAAAATAAGTGACTTGCCCAAGGCAGCATAGCAATTGGTGAGTCAAGTTTTGGACCCAGTTGATCCCTTGTTCCAAAGCCTGGTTCATTTCCATTACACTGTGTAGTTGCAAAGACAGGAATAGAAACAGACTTCCTGACTCCCTGTTGCATTCTCTTTCCATTAAGCTGCGATGGACTTTGGTTTTCTAACTTGTAACAGTAAAGCAACATGACTTTGTGCTCTGTGGTCACTACTGTTACTGAATTATTGCAAAATGACAAAACTACTACAAAAGTGAAGACCTTATAACCAGTGATTATATTTTTAGAGGAAATAAATTATTTCATTGGTGGGAAACAAAAGATAGGACATATTCTTACTTTGATGGTGCTCAGAATACTGGGATGTTTCTAAAGTTAACCAGCTTGATAAGTTTCTTGAACAATTATGAAAAGGCCTTTGTTCACACAAACTCCAGAGCTGGAGTCAGACCATTTGGTTCTGACTTGACTCATTTTTGCCTGTTCTTCAGCTAATAGAGTTAAGCTGTTAGTATAAAATAAGCTGATAGACAAAAGGTATTCTTGTAGGATGGAAAAAGAAACTAAAGAGAAATTTTCTCTGGAAAAATTTCATGTCTATATATGAATAATCTTTAATATTTTACTTTTTCCTTCTTGAGAGACTACATAGTATGGGATTACACTTAATTTAGGGCAAAACAAATTAAGCCATATTTCTCAAGCAGTAATTTGGATACTTATGGGGCTATGGAAATATAAACCTTGAGTCTCCAATATTTATGAGTATGATGTCTGGATAGGATTCAGCTGTGGCTTCCAAGTGCAAGAATCCTTTGAATTGAGAATTTAAAAAAATAGTTATACACAAGCTTTATTTTCATAGATTTTCTTCCTTTACCAATAAGGGTGAGGCAGTGTGTAGAGTGAACAAAGAATTATGGTGAACTTGTGGTTTGTTATGGGTACCAGCTCTGCCTTTTCCATCTCAAGTATGTTCTCCTGGAAAAGTGATTGGTCCTTCTCTGAGTTTGTTTCCCTAAGAATGCAATATTAAAATTTTGCTAGGTTCTCTATTAGGATCATTCATCTCAAATGTATGTCTGATTCTAGGACAATTAGTTTAGACACTTCAGATTATCTATGGACAGAGTCACCAGGAACCCTATATTCTCTCAGCTTTCTCCAGATGTGGAAATCTTTAAATCTTTATTTGACTGATAGGATACCAATCTGTCTTCTTTTCCTCTCCCCTCCCTTTTATGAAGGGAGCCCAGTTAGAAATATGTTTGCCTACAAGGTAGTATGTTTGGTGTCCAGGAACTCAGTTCTAGGATTATGGAGTATTGAACTTTGAGTAGGGTGCTTGAACTCAGTCTCTCACTTCTGGAGGAGGTATCCTGAAAATACATTACTGCCTTAGAGACAGACGTTATCTGTTCATATCTGCCACCTTGACAGGATCCTACAGGATGGAAGCTGAAGTGGTGTGGTATATGAAGTCTAGCATGAGCCTGAACAACTGGTTTTACATGTCACTAGTACTTGCCAGCATGTATAAAAGTGAGCTACATCTCATGAGTTCAGTCTTAGAGCACCAGCTGAGCAATGAACAGAGCAAACCTGTAGCCGACTTACATCATCTTCAAAATGAAGGTAACCACAGTGCCAATGCTTCTGACCCTGGCTCTTTGCCTCATACAAGGTGAGAAATTTGCATACAATTGAAGCCTCTCCTCATACACATCTCAAAGCCCTAGGGAGGGACTTTTCTCCCCCACTCCTTAAAAATGTTTTTAAATGTGTATATTAAAATTCTGAAATGTCTTGCCAGATGCAGAATTTTGAAGATTATATATATATATATATATATATATATATATATGGATTTATGACTATATTATCTTTAAAAGGGGCAAATAGTGTAAGAATATCTGAATTTTACCATGAGAAATCCTTGTTTTAATTTTATACTAGTCCTAAAAACCTAATAGACTATTTTTCATCTTCTCCTCACCAGGAACATCATTTCATACTACACATATATTAGACATTTGAAACTTATAATTATGTACTATATGTATAAATATAAATAAAATATTTCTAAATTCAATTATCCCTTCTTGTTTTAAAGCAGCTGTGTCTTCTAGTTCATTTGATTTTTGTGTTTTCAAATTCTAAATGGATTTGAAATATGGTTCCTAAAGGGTGAAGGACTTTTATTGGAGGTAGAATTAGGTTTTTGCATTTGCTATTTTATTGCTAGGAAAACATAGGCTGCTTGTATTTATCTTGCTTTAAGCAAGAGAGAATCTTGTTTAAAAGAGAGAATCTCAGAGATAGATCCAGTGAGATCATTATACACAAATGATGCTCAGTTTTCTAAAATAAAGTCAGTTAAGGAAAGAGTGTAATAGTCTGTGATTTTTAACTAGTCTTGTTTTTTTTTTTTTACCATATCTCTAATATTTGCACCTGTAATAAGGAGGCAGAGTTGCCAGAATTCAGAAAATGGAATTTTATGGGTATATTTGATGTAAACTTCATGCTCAGTCATATTGTAAAAGATATTAACATTTTTGTGGTACATGGCATTTGAGAAATTAGATATTTTGAGGGGACTGGACAACATTGCATCATTCTCCAGAACAGTTGCACTTTTCTGAGTGACTCTGTGCGTGTGTGCACTGATCTCCTGGGACAGAACTCTCACATTCTTCTCCACGGTAAATCTTAACATGTGGCTTTTCAGCATATTGTCATGAAAGCAATGGCACCACTGTACTGAGTGAATTGTTTGCACCACTCACTGAGTGCTTTACATCCCCTTAACACGGTTCCTGCATTTTTGTTCCAGATGCTGCCACTGAGGATGCAAATCAGGTTAGTCCTGCTTTTTCTCATTGAACCCATCTATTCCAAGTTCCCTCCAGAAAAACGATTTGTGGCCAACACCTTCATGTTAATAAGAACTATTATACTGATAGGTACTAATAGCTTTTGTTAAAAACACAGAAACAAGTTTTTATGAATCAAGACATGAATCTTTCTATCTCTGTGTTTCTGTCCCTGTCTCTCTCTCTTTCACATACACACACACACACACACACACACACACACACACACCCTATATTAATGGCAATGGATGTCTGCAAAGGGCAACCTACCATGTTAAAGGAATGCTCTAAAATTCCAAAAATGAATACAAAGTAAACCAGCAAAATAACTACTATTGTTTCATTTAAGCAGCTGATAAAGTCACAATATGCCACATAAGAAGCCACATGTTTCCAGGTAATCATTATACACAAAGGAGATGTCTGTATTTAGTATACAGTTGGTGTACAAATTTTATTAAATAAATATTTATGAGCATCTACTATGTGTCAGATCCTACTTGAAATACTAGGGATATTCTAAAGTAACAAAATAGATGAAAACCCTGCCCTGCTGAAACTATTTCAATGGAGGAAAACATAGAAATTCATAAGTAAATTAGCAAAATATATAGTACCTTAATAATTAGTGCTAGGAGAAAAAGCAAGATGCAGGATAGGAACTCTAGGGATTGGAAGAGGTATCCCACTGATTCTCAGTGGAATAATTAGGAAAGTTTTCCTGGAGAGAAAGTGTTAGCGCAAGGATTGAAGGTTATGAGGAAGTAAGCCATGAAGATCTTTGCACTTTATAGCAAACCAGGCAGAAGCACCTGGAATGGCTGGTGGGTGACCCTGATGCAGGAGGCTGCTGTTCCAACTATGAAAGGCCTTTCCTTTGGGCAATTAGAGGATCATTTTCTATAGAAATTAAATTTTTCTATCTATTTGAAGAGCCAGTTCTCATGCACATCTTTTATGTATGTACATAGACACACTACTGTACTGTTCAAACCCGGTACCACAAAATACATAACCATCACCAACAATGCAGTGTCATGTGAATAACAAAATTTTTTGTATTTCTCAAAGGCCATGAACATTAAAAGAATAAAAAAGTGAAATGACTCTTCTCTATACCAAAATTGTTTGAACTATGGTTAAAATATGTTCTTGCTTTATTTTATTGAAACTTTAAAAAGACAATGTCAGGAATAGCCTAGCAAATTTCATCATAGTCTCTATTACCTCATCCAAATTTACTGATGAAAGAGAGGTGCAGAAAGTGTGGTAGAGTAGAAGAATAGCTGGATGTTTTGGAGAACCAGACAGAATATGCCTTACACTGGATGTCTTACACTGGATGAAAGAAGAATGTTGCACCAATATCACTGAACATGAAGCCATCATTTTCTTTTTCAGAGTCCATGATGATGGGTGCTGATTACAAATTTTGCACTGATCTTTTTCATACCACTTAATTCTAATTCACTGAAAAGAAAGTTTCTAAAATACAGATTTACCTGCCTCATACAAGTATAAAAGGCAAGAAGCACACAAAGAAGTAATCATTTTTCTGGAAAAGTTTCTAATCACACTTTTTGCAAATTGTGCCAGAAAGGTGCTAAAATTTTTGTTGTTTTCCAAATTCAATAGCTTGAGTTCTTTCTAGCACCATAAAAGCGTGTTGAATGTTATAAACATGAGCCAGAACGGCATGGAAAAGAACTATGGCCCTCTGCAAGGATCTTACACAGATGACAAAATTTGTCATCAGAGAAAGGTTTTTATGAAGCCAAAGCAAACATATTAATGCTCTAATACCCTGATGGGGTGATGCCAGCTCCTGAAGGATTTGATTACCAGGTCTGTGGATGGTAAATTGAAGACAACAGCTAGACCATAGCCAGAGAGGCAAACAAAGAGTGCTTCACATGAGAGGGATCCAGTTTTTCTGAGATGAAGAGCAAACAAAAACAGCAACAATAACACAAGCGAACTGAGGTCTAGTAAGTAAACTACTTACTGGTAAATAGTTGCTGAACAACCATCTCAGGATGACTTATTGGTCTAGGTCTGCTCCTGTTTCAACCAGCCCTGTTATGGTAATTGCAAGATGACTTTCTTTTCCCCAAAGAGAAACACAATTTTCAATTTTTATGGTCTGTTCCTGTGTTCAAAGAGAATATACTGAATTATTTCATAACTCAGAAAAATAGTATTAAGCCTTCTGTTAACAAACACTGTGAACAAATTTCTTAATCTACTCTCTGAACCTCTCAAGCCTTTTGTAAAACAGTGGGTCTTTCTAGGAATTAAGCTCTCATCAAATTGTAACATTCTAGAAGTCCAATTGGGAAATTAAACAAATTGATGCTCTTCTTTTATGATTAACCATTAAACCTATTTAGAACTTCATGACTATATTATCATGACTCTTTGTTCTATATACTTTGTTTCAGGTCTACCTCACAAAGGGTTATGTTTTTCTTACAAAACACCAGGCTCTACTCTCATTTTGCTATCAGGCTTTTTTTTGTTGTTTATTCATATATACATACATTGTTTGGTCATTTTCTCCCCCCTACCCCCACCCCTTCCCTCTCCCCCCCAAGACTTTATACAACCACTTATGTTTGGCAAGCTAGGCATTAAGTTGCAAAGTTGCAATAAAATATTATACAATCAAAGACCAGACACAGATATCAAGAAGACCAGTCATTAATCTCTTGCTAGAAATTATTATTTTGCTCCTGAGACAAGATCATTGGGTGGTGACAATAATCTGAGACGTGTTTTAGCAGGTCACCCTTAGCAAAGTTTCCTAGGGTTGGTCTCAAATATTGTTTATTCTTTACCATTAATCATTCTGTAAATGCTGCCAATTACCTACCATGTTTAAGAGGCTAGATGAGATACACCATTTATCCCTTAGAATATAAGCACTATTCAGGAAAAGGTATTTCTAATTTTATACTATATCCTGGGGCACCTAACCAAGCATAGTAATTTCATAATAAGTGATTATTGACTGATTGAATTATTATAAAGATATAGGAGGCTGAATAGAATCCTGTAGTTTGCCAGGCATAGGTGTCTCACGCATGTAATCTTAGCCACTCAGGAGCAGAGATCAGAAGGATTATGGTTCAAAGCTAATCCAGGAAAATAGTTTATGAGACCCTATCTCAAAAAAACCCTTTACAAAGAAGGGCTGGTGGAGTGGCTGAAGGTGTAGACCCTGAGTTCAAACCCCAGTACCACAAAAAAATAAAATAATCCTGTAGTCAGTCTTTTCAGCGAGGTTGTATTTGACAGAGTTGGAGCAAGGCTTTCTTTCTTTAGTTAGTTATTTTCTCAGACAAGCATCTTGAAGCAGAATTTATTTTGGGCAAAAAAACCCTCTAGATTCCAAAGGCTTGATCTAAAGGCCTAGTGAATATCTAAGCTAGTAATGAATATGACATTTTTAATCAGTACATTACTAGGTGGCACAGATGCACCATTGAATTTAGATGTGCTTCACTCCCAGAAAGTGAGTGACAGGTAGAACAGCCTTCGATGAAACACACTGAGCAAGTAAGCGAGAAGACAGGTTTGTTTCACCTTAAAGGAGGATCCCATTGTCTTCTCCTTCATGAATTCTAACACTCAAGAACGAATTCCACACTCCCCCCAATCTCAGTGCAGTGCCATCACCGGCATTTACAGAAATAAAACCCAAACCAAGTACAGTTCAATGTGACTTCAAAATAGTTGCACAAATTAATACAATAGTTGTCCAAGAGATTGTGACAAATGTAAAAGGGAAAGATAGGAGAGAGAGAAAAGCAAGTCTTAAAGACAGAGGTATATTGCTTCCATAGACTGACAAGCTTCGTTCTGGTGGTAGTGTTGGTAATATTTATGGTAATATTTATTGTTGGGGTGGGAGCGGAGGTATATTTAAGAAAAGAACACACATTTGAAAGTACAAAATGGCTGTTTCTCCCAAGACTTTGGAAGAAGGATGTGACAACAAAGAGCTCTGAAACTTCAGTTTCATTAACTTTAAAGTAAGTGTACTATTGTTCATATCAAAGGATATGGATTTTTTCCAGAAAATAATCACTATAAAAATTTGTTTTCCAAAAATACATGAGTAAGGAATCCTTTTTAATTTAACAACCATTAGTAGTTCTAGGTATTTATTTAGCAGTTTACATTTTGGGAATATGAGCAGATACTTGTCTCAATCCTCCAGCAAATCTTTCATATTCCTTCTGTGGCAGTTACTATTGTTCTACTGTGTACTAGAGGTTCTAATAATAATAACAACCACTGCCACAAAAATAATAAAGAATAATTTCCTTACTAAATTCGTTGAAGTCATAGGTCAGCAACCCAGAATATAAGCTCAGCTCTTTTGACTCTAAGTTCCATATTCTTTCCATTTTGCTAATTATATCAAATGAATTTGCTATCTCCAACAAGCAAGCCAGACTCATTATTTTTGTTTCTGTTACTCATAGTAACTGGGTAGCTTCTGTACAGGAGCTGGTCACCTTTAAATAATGCTATTTAAGGAAGCTTTTCTTTAAGAAAGCTTTGTTTTGATGAAGTTTCAGTAAAGAACATGGTTTTATCTTTTTTTTTTCAGGGCACATGCAGTGAATTTCAGGCATTCATAAGAAATGGAAAACTGTTCTGTCCCCAAGATAAACTTTTTAAAAGTCCTGATGGAATGACATTTATCAACAAATGTGTCACATGCAAAGCAATATTGTGAGTACACTTCCTCTTTTTCTTCAAGTGTTTGAGTTACCCGCTATTCTTTGCAGTTTTTCTTTTCTTTAAACTCTTATTTTTTTCTAAGCCTGGAATAGTAAATAAAAATTCCTAGCAGACCATTCTGACACCTTCCATCAGATAAAACTGGATAATTGCCATCCATCTAGCATGAGTTTAATATTCACTCAAATGGGATTTCAAAGGAATTTTAGAGATCTCAGAATTAATACTTTATATGCACTCTATAGTTAGGAAGTAGTTCTACTTTGTTCTTCCTGGTGATGGGGAAAATGAACTTAAGAAAGGAAATCATATTCTTTGGGCTTGTTAAGACCTGATTGTGTTGTAGCCAAGAGAACAAGAAGATCACTTTGAAAAGGATGCCAGACTTTCCTTGTGGCAGCCAGCCAGCAGAAGTGGTTTAAACAGACTAAATCCTGACACTGTGAGGTGCCAGTGTCTTTAAACCTGTAAGATTATGTAGGATGAGATGGACTAGATTGTTCATTGCAGCTTGTAACTCCCTACAGCTCAGAAAGAATTAGTATCCTGGAAGTATAACAGGATAGTACTCAATGTGTCGGAATCTATCCAATGTTTCTTAACTTGATTACTTTCTCTCCAATGACATCCAAAAAGTAGAACGATTAAGGTATCAATTTTAAATCCTCAAGCCAGACTGTGCTAATTTTTCTTGTAAGATTCCCTTTATATTTTTTTACAAGGCACTGGGTATACAACCCAGGGCTTGTGAATGCTGACCAGTGCTCTACCACTCTGCTACATCCCCAAATGTGTTTTTGAACAGGGATGTCATCTTCAAAACTTCAACAGTTATACCACACCAATGCTAATCTTATCCATGTAAGATAATTATGTTGTAATTGGCTTTTTAAAACTCAAGTTGGTGTGTGTCAGGGGATTTAATTTGACATATCCAATAATGTGGGGAGAATGAAGCTCTAATAATATGTGCTGCTTCTAGTGAAGACACTGTGGGAGAGTGAAAAAAGAGAGGGAAGGATTTAGGATGAGGAGAGGTCCAGGGCAGGATAAAAATTCCTTTCCCATTCTCTTGAGAGCTTAATCTAAGCTACCAGTTATATTATTTACTGTAAAGTTTCCTATTAGTTACATAGGATGTTTTAATAGACCAAAAAAACATGAATTGCTGACAAATAACTTTAAATAAAAATAGAATACCTTAAGACCTACAAAACAGTTTATTTCTTTGAAGTCACCCATTGAATTATTTTTATTACACATGTAAATTATGTTGGAATAAATTTTTGTCTTAACTGGAAGGAAGGGGTCTGTATAATACAAGAAAATCATCTTCAAACATTGATGGGCCATGTTGATTTACTCTGTGGGATTTTAGGGGCTAGAATCAGCAGATTTTTGATTCAGTATAAATAGTCTCCCAAAGATTGGATTCAAATAATGCCATGAATAGTTTTTAGAGTTGATGGTCTTCTTATTGGTGGAAATATTCATGGGAGGTAATCAGACATGCAATTAAAGGCAGAGATTATTACGTGTACTAGTCCATATTTGAGTGTCTTGTAGAACAGAGAAGATACCACTTGAGGACATTTTTCCACTTCTGACATGTCAGATTGGACTCAGGAAGGCAATCAAAATTAAGTTCACTGTGTAAGTTTTTATTCCTAAAAGTGGGGCAAATGATGTTTGAGCTTGTTCTTCCTTGTTCTCCTCCAGAGAAAAAGAAGCAAAATTCCAGAAAAAGAATTTACCAAGAGCCACTAGGGCTACTGCCCCAGCAAAGGTGAGTCTGTCTAGAATCCATCTGTTACGTTTGCTTTCAGTATAATGCTTGTCTCTATTTAGCACTATATGTTTATTTTCTAATTGCTAGGCTATTCCTGTTTTGAAGGCAACTACATATAAGGGAGGGAATGTGGCTTAGTCCAAGGGTGGGCTGAATATCTGGTACATCTTGTCCATAGATAGGCCCAACCCATGACCCAACTCCCGGAAAATATTTTAAGCACTGACAAACGCTCAGAGGTGGAGTAAGACAGGATGAAGTGTGACCATTTTCATGGCCATTTTCCATACTTCTATTCAGTCCAGCTCCATTAAGAGCCTTCCTGGCACTGTAGAACTAAGAGCAAATTTGAAAATTCATATTGTCTATATAACTTGGGCAATTTGTGTTTATCTGGGTTCATTTTTTTTAATCTGTGAAATGAGTTGTGTGTTAAATAAGAATGTAAATTTAAAAATACAGCTACAGTGTTGAATATGTGTTAGCAGGCATTTGAATCATTCTATTTCCTCTCTCTTTCCTGTTTTGTTTCCTGTGGCATATCTTCTCAAATACCTGGAGTGTTCTCCTAATTCAGCTTGAGTTGTTTGTTTAATGCCTGAAACTCAGGCTAATATTTTGCTTGAAAAAAGTTTTCAGTGGGTAAATACTAATTTGTAAAATAAAAGGAAAGAAAGAAACCATCTAGATTTAGAAAATCACACAATCATTTCACTTGACAAACAGAATTTTATTTATATAAACTATAAAAGTAACATTTTAAAAATAAAAAATATGGACCCATATAGTTGGAAATTCCTCACAATTAATTGACAAAACTGGGCTGTCACCAGCTTTCCTGACAGCTACACACATTGCCTCCAGTTTTCTTCTTATGTGGCTTCTTTAACTCCTTCTTTCTCTTCCTCTTCTCCTGGCCCTAACACATAATTAAAATGATCAGTCAAGGTAGGCACACCCTAATTACTTACAATGTCCATGGTCTTACCAACCTACCATCTCTCTTGGTTGTATTACTCAGGAATGTCTGAGAACTTCTGCTTTTTCAGTAAACATAGTTGACTGAATTGTTGTCCTAGTTTCAAGAAGTCTCACTTTTAAAAACAGTGACACAGTCACCACTCAGTTGGTCAATATCAGCAAGTCCTTTATGTATAATAAAAGAGGACTGTGTCTTATGCTTCAAAATCTATGGGATCCAGAAAGGTTTGGTTGCAACTTTTAAATTTGTCCTTTTCTGCCACATTTCAGAGATAGAGTCATTTTGTAAGATCCGTTCTCCTTTCCCCTGTCTCTCTTCTTGATTAAAAGAAAAAAAATTAAAACAAACTGATGAATCAATGGTGTTTAATAATGTCAAACATAAGGAAATGACAAACAAAAAAAATACACACATTCCAATATTAACAAATCTGCTATTAGTTAAAAATACCAAAAATATGGCTAGTCACCTGTTTACATCTGTAGAATCAACTATATTGAATTTCAATCAGAGTTTTAAGAGATAGAACTATAGAATTCTCCTTGATAATGTTTTATGCCTGCGTTATGGTTTTTAATCTCTAGATAAAATTCTTGTGGCTATATGGGTTGCTCTCTGGGAAACTACTTACTTATAATTTAAAGCAGTTACTATTTGACCATGTACCTTTTAAGTAATTTCTGTCTAGAACTTATTACATTTTTATTATCATATTATTGCCATACTGGGGTTACATTGTGACATTTACAAAAGTACTTACAATATATTTTTGTCAAATTCACCCCCTCCATTATCCTTTATACTCCCTCCACCCTTCTTGGAATAGTTTCAGCAGGTCTCATTTTTCCATGTTCATACATGAGTACATAATATTCCCACCATTTCACCTTCCTTCATCCCTTTCCTATATCTTTTCCCCTCCCACTGGTACCAGTCCCCAGACAGGACCCATTTTAACTTCCTGTCCTCCATTTTTGAAAAAAAAAGACATTTCTGTTTGTTTAAGAGAGCTACACAGGGAGTTTCATCATGACATTTCCATGTGTATATGTATTATATTCCAAATTTATTCATCCCCTCCATTTTGTAGTCCCCTCTTATGGTGATTTCAACAGGTTTAAGTATTCTGTGTTTATTCTTATATGGGAAGTACATCAGCCATATTTATCTTCTTTACTTCCTTGTTTTTTATACTCCCCCTTCTGTTAAATATCCTCCCATTAATGTGAGCTGTTTTTTATTCTTGTTCTTCATTGTTTAGGTGTCTGTTGGTTGTTCAGTGGGATTTTTGCTTTGGTATTATACCTATACATGCAATTTGAATGGATTGATGAAATTACAGTATGTGTCTTGTTGCTTTTTCCTTTGTAAAAGAGAACAATCTAATTCCCTCTATCTAGATTTCTGTCGTCAAAAATGAACCCTGTTAGTCACTCTGAGTATGAGGTGCTCTATCTCTTCAAGAATATTTCTCCTACAGACATCCTTTCTCCCTTCCTTTCAATATTGATCTCTTCCTCATTAGGATGTCATCCTTTCACCTTCCAGCCCTGAATGGCACTCCATCAATAGTTTTGTTAGCCCTACTTTCAAAGTCGATCCCAAATTGGATACTTTTCACCATTTCAATTTCTACATCTTAGTCCCACCATCCATAATATCTGATCTCAACCATCTTTGGTCCAGATGGGGGCTTTTGCCTTTTATTGATGAATTTAATGATTTATGTTGCCAACTTTGTAAAATATTAAGTTTTATGAACGTATGTGTCTATTTCTGAGTTCTTTACTCTTTTCAGATTAGTTAATTGTTTTAACAGCTAGTAAGGCTAGTTTGTCTTATTGAAATTTGACTAAACTATGCATAGATATATTGTTTTCATCTATAACAGAAATTTAAAAATCACTATGTTTATTAAAAAATCAAACTTTAATAGGGAAAAACCAGATTAGACATATAAAGAATTTGTAAATTAATTTGGGTAAGACTGACTTTTTATGATACTAACTGTTCAACTCAAAAATATAGAATAGTTTATTATTAATTTACGTAATCTCTATGTGTTTTATGAAATTTATCAAATATTTCCAAGAATTTTTTATAAGCTTTGTTAATACTTAGAAATATTATAATTTTTTGCTATTTTGAATGGCATTTTGCATTTTTACAATGTTTATATCTAATTAGTATCCATTTAGACAAATTCTATTGATTTCTTCAGGTTGTTCTTTCGTAAGACAACCTAATGATATCTCATATTAATTCTGGTGGGTTTATTGATTATAGTTTAGGTTTTTTTTTTGCAATTGATTACAACATCTTCATGAAATAGGAGTTTTATAATTTCTTTTCAATCTTAATTCTCTTTTATTTGTCTTTCCTTTTATCATTGACAAGGGTCAAAGGTTGAAAACTTAAACATAATGAACATGAAACTGTCTTCTCTCCTCATTCTAAAGCTTCCCCATTAATTATAATGTTTATCATAAGGACTTTTAAATATTAAACTTTAGAAAGTCCTTTCTAATTTTAGCCTACTGAATATGGGTTTGTCATTATCCAATAACTTCTCTGTAAGTATTAAAATAATCTGCTATTTCTCATTTTGCCTACCAACATAATAAATTTCTAGATAGACTTGCTGATGCTAAATAATTATTGTTTTCTTAGGGAAAATTACATAAAATTTTTACATATATTGAATTTAGACAGTAATGTTTTATTTAGAGATTTTACAATTATGTGTATAAGTCAAATGAGTATATAAATTCTCTCTTTTTAGTTATTCTTTGTTTTTTTGTGGTACTGGGGTTTGAACTCAGGTCTTCACATTTGCAAAGCAGGTACTCTGTTTAATTCAGAGCCCTTTGGGCTCTGGTTATTTTGGAGATAGGGTCTTGCTCTTTGTCAAAGCTGGCCTTGCTCATGACTACTATTTTAAACTTCCCTAGGTCACTGGAATGACAGGTGAGTGCCATCATACCCAAATATTGGCTGAGATGGAGTTGCCCAAACTCCCCACCTGATTGGCTTAGAACAGTGATCCTCACCATCTCAGCCTCTCAAGTAGCTAAGATTACAGGCATGAGCCACCCACACTTAGCTTCTCTTTTTAGTCATTCCTGTTTGGTTTGGAGGTCTCTATAAAATTGCCTTGAGTGGTAGTACTTCAGGCAATGGCTGAATGAAGTCAGCAAATCCAAATAAAAATAAAAAGCGAGATAAAATTAACCAGGAAAACTATGTTAGCACTCTGAAAATTGATTAACAGCCTATTCCAATCTGAGAAACATTTATTCTTGGGAAACTACCGAACTTTAGATAAGAGGAATGAGAATCTGTGATGCTCTTGCTTAGGGACTCTCCCACCTCGCCTCCTGCCTTGGTTGGTATGGAAGTTGTGTACAGGAGAGGCTATAAGCATCAGTAGCTGCAGCAGCACTATTGAAGAGGGCTTACCTAATTTTGGAGTAATGGGTGACTACCACACCCAGAGGTGTTTTGATGATCTTCACTAAGAGTAAGGAAGATGCGCTGGGTAAATGTATTACTGACTGAGTCTTCATACATGGGCATCAGAGACTAGAGAATACACAAATAATTCACAAACTTTTGATCAGCTCCAAGGCTGTAGACCTGATTAGAAGACATACAATATCCTAATGGAGAGCAAATATAAAAATGGTCTGAGCTTTACAAGTCCTCCTCTATACACAGAGGTTCATCTATAGAAGATAGAGGCCTTATTAAGGAAGGTATTTGAACACAAGCTATGTCAGATCTTTTGCTAATGACTAGAAGCCAAGCTTAAAAAATAAAACATATGAGCATTTTCTTACCAGACACATCAGCAGCTACAAATCTTGAGACAGCAAGATGTCAAAGAAACAAAAAGGAGTAATAAGCAGCAAAAATGAACTTTAAGGGAGAAATCATAATCCTGTGTTCCTGTAATGCATTATCTAATATGTCCTGTTTCAAAAGAAATTATAAATGATGCAAATTAGTAAGAATA